TCGCCAGGAACCTGGTGTATGTGTCGCGGAGCGTCATGACGCCTTGAATATAATAGCTGTTTAGCTAATTGCTGTTGTGCGTATGTATACCGGGGCGAGTGTGGTGGCGGGTCAAGTGGGGTGTGATGGCTGTGGTGATACAAATGTTGTGAGTAAACAATCGCGGCCGGACGCGCGTAAGATTATGTACCCAAAAGCGGTGGGGAAGGTGAAAGGGGAACCACAACATTGAGCGCAGCAGGCTCCCATATGGACCGCAAGAGCCCCCGGTCTCTCCATCGCAAGGTGTTGTTTATGCAGGGGTCCCGCGACGCCCCACCTCGATCAGCCACCAGAAGGGATAGCCGGACTGCGGAGATCAACGCGGAGAACAATGTCATGCAGCCTGCAGCTAACGGCTTCGCGGTGGGGATCTCGTTTGCTGTCGCACACCATCTTTTTCGATTTTCCTACACTCGCAGCCATTGAATCATATAGATTGAGCAGCGGAAGTTGGCCCTTGTTTGCTTATTCGTACCGCAATTACCGGCGTGTTTCAGATCTGTTCTGGTGTGCCGTCCATTCTAGGACGCCTAGAAAATGCCTATTCTTCATCCAGATTCTCGATATTGCGCGCGTTGTCGACAAAAAAAGTTACTTCTACACAGCCTCTTGCGGTATTCGACTTTACTACCTATAGGAGTGAATTTCTCAATACTCTCGCTATCTTTCCCATGGTCTCATTAGACTCATCATTCCTTTTTGTGCGGACCACTCTACTCTTCATTTCTTCTGCGTTGTCAAAAGAGCAAGAAACAGCTTGCCGGAAACTGCAAGTGTAGTATATGGGGACGCAACGTGTCGTTGAAACACTGATATATGACGTTTGGGACTCGACATGCATCCACAACGCGCTGAGGCGATGTGCAATCGAGCATGTATCCGCTAAAGATACATATGGTCTGTGGCAAAGACGCGTTGTTCAACGAACTTAATTGATGAAATTCCCGGGGTTCGTCTACGAACGATTTTTGAGTGAATGGAGTAGGATTATCCGAAGTCACTCTGTCGACTGCGACTTTCACGTGAATCTGAGACAGTGATGGTGCCCACGAAGGTATGGACAGTGCGCAGCTGGACAATTGTGTACCGGCCGCCTGGTATTTACTTCCCTTTTTCTATACAGTCCAGTCTGACATCACTTCCCGGGTCCTCTCATCACCGGCTCCGACACTCAACTCAGAAAACGAAGGACTACTGACCTACGCTCAAACCTACAACTTAACATGGCCTCGACTGATATGGACGACTTAAACTGGGGCATAGGGGATCGCGATCTGAACGACATAGAAAGTGATTCTGTGAGGGAAGAGGAAGAAAAGCGCCTTCGCGAAGAACGGAACATAAACCAGGCGTTGGATACGTTTGAACTGTACGATGACGCTCTGGCGATGGTGCATATCGACGACTCGTACAGCTACACTTCGGCGTCACCTTCGCTCCAGCTTCTTGGCCTGACGGACGATGACAATGCACTTCAGTCCTTCTTTCGACTGTTGCGATTGCACAAGTCAATCGAACAAGAGACTGTACCAAACCCGAATATAAGGTTTCTCGAAGACGGCATGCTAGACGCCACACCAGAATCAGGAGAGAATAAGAGAATATGCCAACGCAATGTCCAGTCCTCCAGGCTCCTAACATTACCAATCGAGGTCCGTAATCAGATATTTGCCGAAGCCATGGGTGGCTTCAGCATCTTCATCAAATCGAGGCGTGTGGATTATGGAGAGTACAATAAGCAGGAATTGTCGCGGATCACAAACCGCATCAGACTGCTCAATTCTTCAGCCGGTATAGCTCTCCACGAGACACATTTGGAGGTAGGGCCCAAGGATTTCCTAGATGTAGCATCCTGGCACGGTTCTAAAGTCAGAATCACACGCACCAACCTACCAGGCGGTCCAAAAGAGAGCAGTCCCTTTGTCGCGCTTCAGTCGACATGCCGGCAGTTATATACCGAAACCGCGCTGGTCCCATTTTCTAGCATCAATCGTTTCTGGTACTACAACGACTTCGCTCTCACAGCTCTGAGAAACCGCATCACATCAGCTCAAACTGGAGCCATCAGCAAGCTCTTCTTTTACGTGAAGGCTATGGAATATTCAAGCAGGCCGAACGACATTGGAGACTTCGACTTGAAGCGTGTTCAGAATTTGAGTACGTTGACGGGGTTGAAGTACATTCACGTCGCTGTTGTGGTAGATGACGGCGACTTAATGTCTCGCGAGTCCTCGTTCCGTACGACCCGTCCGTCGGAGGTTGCGGCGCTCAAGCGGATAGAGGCTGGTTTGGGTCCTAGACTTCTGGAATTCGCACCCAAGGATGTTGAGTTGGCGTTTGAGCTTCATCGTCTGGAGTAGTAGGATATGGTCAGGCGCACGCTAGCTTTTGTGTGACTGCTGTGGAAAATACTAGTTGCTGAGACGTTCAGCTACAGGTATTTCCAGTGTCGTTTGCGTCATCGCTATTGCGGGAGTCGTGAGTGGCTCCTTCTTCGTCGGTAATCGCAATATCTAAGTTACCGGGTTTGGCTGGGCGAATTGATCTAGTTTTGGTAGAATATCCTCGTTACCTACTCAACGACGAAAATTCGAGACTAGGTGAATCCCCAGTGAATGAGCGAGCGGTCGACTTACGGCCTAGCGCAATGGACCCTCAGTTCTTCTTTCCGACAGCGCTGGCTGTCCTACCCAGTGATTCCATGCTCGGAATGCAACTTCCTAGTTCCATTTCTCTTAGCACCGACACGTCGACCACGATGGCGGACGCGACGCGCGCAGCCGATGCGCACTTAGCAGCTCTGTCTTCACGTGAAGAGAACATAAATATAACCACGCGCAACGCTACCGAGTCCCCTCTTCTGCAACTTCCAGCCGAGATGCGAAATGAGATCTACAAGTGAATAGACCTTCTCTAGCATCACTCAAGAAAATCACGAACATACACTAACCTTCTCATCTGTGCTAGATACGTGTTGAGCGGCCAGGTTCACGAGATCCTATTGCGACCCCTCCCATTGGAAAGTACCCTTGGTCTACTACTCGTCTGCAAGCAAATCTCCGAAGAAGCTGCCATGCTACAGTACCCTTACTGCGTCTTTGCATTCGACCACGAGCTCGCCATGCGCAACTTCCTCTTACGATGCTCCCACGCTAAACGCAAACTCATACGTACGATCCAGCTTAAACCACGCAGATGTGCTATGTTGGAGCGGTCTTTCTGGAACTTTGGGGAGCACGGCAGGTGGATTAAGATGGAGGAACTGGAGAAATTGGAAGGCTTGCAAACTATCATCATCGAGAAAGCGAGGGTTCCTCCAGCAGCAGGTTCTGGGGCCCACAATGAGCAACATGATATTAGGGCGCTAGCGGAGACGATGAGGTCTATGAAGGAGGGTGTTACTGTCATAATCGAAAAATAGGCTGGGTTGGGCACACGAGAAATGTTCGCCGTTGTACATCAATGTTATCAAGCTGGAGATATACACAACCTTGAGAAGATATTTGCTTGTTCAGACTCAGTTGCATGTATGTAGTAAGATCCAACACATATCTAGCCACTCTTTATGGTGCAATAATAAATGACATCAGGATATGCATGCGGAATGCACAGCCTGCCCTGAGTTCATAGCGAACTTGTACTAGCGGCCCAGCGCCGGGTCGCGCAAACACACATCCTCATCCCTGTTACCGTTTTCGGCTTCAGCTCCACTCCTACAGGTCTAAGCTCTTCAGGGCTGTCTCTCACTTACCAACTACTTAGACCACAACACAACACAGCTCCACCCGCAGGTCAGCAACAAAAGTCCCAAGGACACCTGCCAAGATGGGGCGAAGGAAAGCAGCCAACGCTGCGCGCGCTCACATGTATGCAGTCTACGAGAGTCAGTATGCGCAGGAAGTACATGAACTCATGTTGAGATAGCACGGCGGCAAATCAGCGCAACTCTCCTCTCCTCCGTCTACCGGCCGAGCTTCGGAATCAAATCTACACCTACGCATTGGGCGGCCATGTTCTCGGGATGGGAATGTATACAGAGCCGGTGACACGAATTCGCAAGTCACGTCTTTATACAAAGAAAGACGCCCTTGCTTTCGCATTGCTGAAGACATGCTCTCAAGTCAACGCAGAGGCAGCAACTCTTGCATATAGTTTCAACACTTTCAACTTCCTCGGACACACCTCCATCCCTGCCTTCACAGCGTCCGCCAGTGCAAGAGGAATCCAAGCCATCAGAGTGATCAGGATTTCATACAACACTGTAATCCTTTGCAGACCCACGGATCTATTGTCACAGCTTACCCATTTCCGAGGTCTAGAGGAAATCAAGATCAACTTAGCTGGTAAAAAGCTCGATCCAACAGAGTACAACCATGCCTACCTTCGGACATTGTGTATGCTCCTGCGAAACTATAAGTCTGGTGTTAGAGTCATGACATGGGATTCTTTCATTGGGTTGAGCAGTGTCAAGTATCACTGAGACAAGATGGATTGGGTTTGGTCCATCGTGTGGAGAGTGGAAGGGAATTGCTTTTACGATATCAAATGAATAGTCTACAAAGAGTACAAGCGAAGTAGAGTATCTCAGATGCGTTTGGCGGATCTTTATCTCGGTGAAGTTTCCGAGATCGACAATGTACGAGATATCCATCTCTCCACAGGATCAGAAAGTGTTCAGCGCTACTAGTACCAGCCTTTCCTCTCATTAAGCACGTACAATTATCTTTTAGTGTCAAAGGGATTGGAAATACTTGCGAAAGCAGAATATGGACAGACGAGTACGGATGCGTCCTAGCGCACTGCCATGCAAACGCTCTATCGCTTCCTATAATCTTTTAGGCATCATCTGCACCTCCACAAACTCTCTAACTCTCTTTTCTACAAGACTACACTGCAACTCCGCTCCACCGATGTACCTTACAGCGCCAAATACCCAGACCCGTCTCAACAACTCAACAATGGCGCAGGAAGCATCAGCAAACCAACGCAACTCCCCCCTTCTCCGCCTTCCCGCCGAGCTTCGAAACCAGATCTACAACTACGCGTTGGGCGGCCATATAGTCTTATTGGGAACAACACATGAGCTTGTTTACCCACGGAAGCCACGCCTCTACCCAGAGGAGCCCATCCCACACTTCGCGCTACTAAGAGTGTGCTCGCAAATCCACGCCGAGGCCGCCCTTCTCCCATACAGCCTCAACATCTTCCACTTCTTCACAGACCTCAGCAGCATCAATGCTTTCATGAGCAGTATCAGTACATCGCAGCTTGGAGCTCTTACGATACTGGTTATCCAAATCAAAGACGTCTGCAGAAATCCAGATCACATGTCGCCTCATCTGATTCAGTGCAAAAGTCTCAAGGAAATCAGGATACGCTACAATACAAAGTCCGTTGTGTTCCCGAGGAACTACGACTTGTCTCGTGTAGGTTGGTTCGCGAAGCTACTGCGGGAAAAGATCCCTGATGTCAAGGTTACGACGTGGGACACTGGTATGGGAATCAAATGTACGGGACATTACTAAGACGGTTGGCAGTTGACATACATGGTCGGGCGAACAGTGGGGCTCGAGATACTGTCACAAAATGATAGCATGGCTTTCGAGCATCGATGTCGAGGAAAAGAATCGAAGTTACAGTTTTTAGGAATTGTATTCAAATAAAGTTGCCTGATGAGGAATATTAGCCAAAGTCAACTTTCATGCAGAATTAGAAGGATAGTTGACTGCCCCTCCTTCCCGAGGTCTTGTCAAGAACATCTATCTTCTTAAAAACTACCTATATGCATACGTATCAAGATATATCACTATTAATGTAGTAAGCTATCGCAGTGCACGCCCGGGCGGCCTTGCAAACGCTCTCTTTCACTTCTTCGAATGTCTTGGCATGGCCTGCGTTTCAAAGCCCTGTTGCGCTCTCACAATTGAACGACTACATATTACACTTGTGACTCCTCCTATTTATGAGAGTACAATGACTGCAGCACCCGACAACTCAGCCCACTCAACTGCAAATGTCCAAATCCATATCGACAGCGCAAACAACGGCGCAGATAACATCGGCAAATCAACAAAACTCTCCTCTTCTCCGCCTACCTGGTGAACTTCGAAATCAGATTTGGGTGTACGCGCTGGGCGGCCAGAGAATCAGGTTGAGTCTACGCGGCGACAAAGTACTAGTACTATATCGCGACAAATTTGCACTGGCATTCGGGCTATTGAAAGTATGCACCCAGATCACCGCCGAGGCTGGGATGCTGCTTTACAGCCTCAGTGTGTTCGACCTTGTATCGACGACCATGATCAACGACCTCGTTACTAGCATGACTACATCGTCCATCGAAGCTATCAAAACGCTGGAACTCCCACTCTGCTTCATCGACACTCATTATCCCCGCGTTGCATCCTCACTCGCAAAGTTCAAGGGCTTGGAGCAGATTAGGTTGAAACACAGCTGTAGAGACAATCATTTAAGGCTTCCTCGATATCAGGACGGGTTGCGGGTTTTAGCGGATGGTCTACGAAAGGATGTACCGGGTGTCAAAATTTCGACATATAAGTTTATACCTAGGGAACCGGATTGGGCAATGAGAATAGCATTGATGAGACACTCCGGATTGAGCAGTGAGAAGAGCTTTACTGAGACACTCCGGACTGAGCGTCAAGAGGAGGCCGAAGAGCAAGAAGCAAGTATCTTTTAAAGACACGCAATGGGCAGTCTTATGAGCACTGAGAAAGGAAAGGGAGTAAGGGCGCCTTGAAATGATATGGTGTGCAGGTGTTTATTCCAGCAAAGCTTACTGAGATCGATGATCAGCCACAAGTTCATCTTCCTATAAGATAAGACAAAATTCAAGACTTCCCTTCTGTTCTAACTTCGCTTAGTCAAGCACTACGCTCATTATGTATGACCAATTAGATCTGAAAGGATTTCCACTCCTTCACTTGCCTGACTATTTTAGCAAGCACGTGCACCCCCAAGCTTCCTCGCACTTTCCCACTTCTACGACCACGCCACCACCACAACCGCTCAACCCAAATAGCGGCCGCGATACCCATACCCGTCCCGACAGCTAAAACGATGGCGCAAATCACGAAAGCCGAAGCTACAGCGGCGAACCAACTGAACTCTCCTCTCTTCCGTCTACCAGCAGAGCTACGAAACCTCATCTACCACTACGCGCTCGGCAACTGCACCCTCTTCCTGGTACCGTCCCAAAAGTCTCTGCGTCTCTTTCAGCGCGACATGCCCGCTTTTCCCCTCCTAGCTGTATGCACCCAGATCCAGAGCGAAGCAGCACTCCTCCCCTATATTCTCAACACATGGGACATCGCCACCCGAGATACCTTGTACTTGTTTCTGGAAAAAATCCATCCACGTTACATCCAGGCCATCAAGAAACTAGACATTGGTCTCTGGACCGTCGCGCTGCAATCGACGGGAATGATTTGTGCGTGGCTCGAGAAGTTCAAGGGTCTAGAGGAAGTTGTCTTCAGTTACAATCCGGGCTTCGACCAGACGTGGATACATGATTGGGTGCAGCGCTGGGAGAGGGTGGTGACGTTAATGCGGAAACGGCTGCCCCTGGTGAGAACAGCGACGAGGGGCTCAAGGGAAGGGGTTCCTTGAGAGAACGCACCCGACTCTCCATGAGGGTGAAAAGAGGAATGGGATGCAGAACACTTAGCTTGCTTGGAGACTGGGGACGGAGTATACTTGTACAGTGTCGCATTGTCGGTTTTACAGAGTTGCAAACTTCGTGTGCTGGAGAGCTTAGCAACTCACGCATGTGCTGTAAAGACGTCTCCTCACACTATACAACATGCTGTCTAACTCCACCCTCTTATACTCCTTTTGTCTAATAGCCACCGATCAGCTCGGTCATACAGACCATTTATCAGGCTGTTGACATATCTGTTGGAATCAAGGAAGATCAGCTCTAAAACCAATGACATGCATAAAGCATTCCGCACAAGCATCCATTGGGAGAACTGGTGGACCAAAAGCATGTACCTCGTGGCGTGCAAACAGTCATGTACAATTAGCAAGACAAGCCACTAAGAGTACAAATCATCGTCCATGGTCGCATCGCCAAACCCCCCTTCAGCGATATCAACACTGCTCTTCCCCGGCGTATGATTCGCCGGCGCCTTGCCTTTCCCCTTTCCACTCCCACTCCCTCCAACCGCCCTATTCGCATCCCCATTCGCAAACCCATTAACCTCCAAATTCTCCGTCCTAACAACCATATCCTCAGCCTCGTCGATCGGCGCCTTTGCCTTACCCTTCCCCTTCGCGCTAGTCGCCGGTTGAACAGCTGGCGCAGCCCCATTCTCCTTCTTATCCTCCTTCTTGCCCGCGCCTTCAAACTGTTTCCGCACTCTATCGTAATGCCGGAGTTCATCTGCGCTAACACTAGGGACGAGTTCCTTGTGGGCTTCCATGAAGTCTTCTTCGGTGACCATGACAGCGGTATCTTCTTCTGTGGCGAGATGGTCGAAGAAATAGGCAATGGTGATGGGAGGGGAATGGGTGGCGTTGTGGGCGGCGACTTTCTCGTCGACGATCTTGGCGGAGCGGGTGATGGCTTTGAGCATGGCGTCGGAGCAGAGGGCGTACATGTCTGCTCCGGTGTATGTAAAGGGAAGGCCTTGGGATACGCGTTGGAGGGAGAGGGAGGGATGCAGTGTGAATCTGGTGAAACGTGTTAGCATCTGGGCGATTCGAAGGAACGGGGAAGGGGAATGTGACGTACTTTCTTGTCAGAGCTTCTAAGATGGTCTGCTGCTTCTCGTGAGTATCGGAAACACCCAGGTACAGCATCTTGTCGAAGCGACCGGGTCGCAGCAGGGCTTGGTCGAGTAGATCGGGTCTGTTAGTTGCTCCAATGACGAAAACACCTTCTCCTCCATCACTCATGCCGTCAAGCTCGGCGAGCAGCTGACTGACAATACGATCCATGACGCCGCCGCTGTCACCTTGATTTCCACGCTTGGGTGCGACAGAGTCCAATTCGTCGAAGAAAACAACACAAGGACGGGCATCGCGGGCGCGTTGGAAGACACGACGTACATTGGCTTCAGACTCACCAATGTACATGTTGAGCAGCTCAGGTCCCTTGACACTGAAGAAGTTGAGTGAAAACTCGGTAGCGATGGCCTTTGCAAGCAGCGTCTTTCCTGTTCCGGGTGGACCGTAGAACAAGATACCACTGCGCTTCTTCATGCCCTTGGCGAATAGCTCAGGACGTGACAAGGGAAGTTGGATAGTCTCCATGACTGCGTCTTTCACGTGCGTGAGACCACCAACATCTGACCATCCGACGTTGGGGATCTTGGGGGCTCCAATTGCATCTGCGAAGTTCTTGCGTGCTGCATCTACTGCGGTGTCTAGATCGGCTTTGGTGAGACTGTTGCTAAAGTGACCTCCTGCTAGTTCAATGTCGCGCGTAGTGATTGTCTCGGACGATGAGAGCGATTTTGTAGAGGATGCAGCGAGCGCTTCAAGACGTTGCTGCTTTGCGACTAAAGCTCGATCGACGACATCCACAAGGTCGCCAGCCACAAGAGCGGCAGTCTTGACAGCGACATTTCCAAGGTCTACTTCAGGGGATAGTCTAATACCGGCATCATCGACGATACTCCTTAGAATACCTTCTCGTTCGCCTTCATCGGGTGCTGTCATCTCAATCTCGTGGGTGAAGAGTCCTCGGATACCTTCCGGTACCTTGTCGATCTCGGTCGTAGTTGCGATTAGCACGCGAGAGTCGGCCAATATCTCTTTCAGCGCGGTGTTCATGCGATCGGCGTTGAGTGCGTCGACGTGCTTGACAAGCAATGCTGTGAACTCAGCGCCACATGTCAACCCTCGTTCTGCCCTAGCTTTCAGAAATCCTTCTGTTTTGACATCGCCACCTCCAGCACCACCCTCGGTGATGATGTCAAAGGCATCAATCGCAAAAGTGTGCAGGCCGAGATCTTCGCAAGCTTTCGTAGCGAGGGTAGACTTTCCGATGCCACGTTGAGTCGAGGTGATCAAGACTGCGATAGGTGGCAGGCCCAGGTGGATGGCTCGCGGACTGGTAGCCACAGACATGAGTTCTCGCAACCGTCTGCGAAGTGATGAAATGTAGGGCTTGGGCAGCTCGTCTAGTGACATCGTCTTCTGCGAGCTCGAAACAGGGGCTCGTTTAGCACCAAGATAGTATTGCCAGGCATTGTTGATGGGAGCTGGAGTCTTGCCCTGCTCGCTGCCGTTCATCTCCATTTTGGTGCTGGCAGCATCTACTGTGACAGCACCACCCCATATGTCGGCTTCTTCGCCGTCGTGAGACGCATGGGTAGAACTCGATACGTTGCCAATCTTGAACCAGGATACGACTTTTGGATTGCGGCTGCTGACACTGGTGCTGTCGTCGCTAGCTGTTGGTTTGGCTTTGGCCAGAAGCTCATCGTTGCCAGCGTCTTCTTCTGCCGTAGTTTGGAATACTGCTCGACCAAGCGATTCGTCGATAGATACGCCTATTAAATCACCACTTTTGACAATGCGCCTCTTTTGCTCGAAATGATCTTTCAATGCCGCGAACAGACTGGGTTGGAGTAGACGATCTGACGACAAAGGGGTTGAGACCTTCAGCAGGGTGACCTCTTTGGCAGACGGAGGCAAAGAAGAGCTGTTGAGACGTGGCTTCTGAATGGCGCTCCTAGGAAGATGAGAAGACTGGCTGGGGGCTAGCGGAGTGATGCGGAGGTGAGAAGGACTGCCTAGGTTTGCGAGAAGAATTGGCGAGAGATAGGCATGCAATGACGAGATTGGTTGCGAGAAGCCCGAGAAACTACTTCTTCGGTCGGTATCTGCCATCTTCTGTACCGGATATCGCGCAACCTTCTTGGACATGTTTTCTGGCAGGCCAAAGACTCTGACGGGGCGCCAATTCGTATTATCTTCCTCGTCAACTCCTCCGAATGTACTCAAGCCCCAGAGCGGATGTGATGAAGGGGCTTCGGTGCCCCCAAGCTTTACCCAGTCGCCCGAAAAGCAACCGACTTTGACCAGTGTGTTGATGTCGACGAATACGCGCGCTTCCTCGTCATCCTCGCTTCCCGGCTTCGGGTGAATAAGATCATCTGGGACACGCTGGAGAAGCCCCTGGGCTTTGAAGACCTTGCTCTTATTTGCCGGACCACCACGGGCTGTCGTAGCTGTGAAATTGGAGTATACCGACCCTGGCGTCGCGATGCCATTAGGGCGTCCGAAGTTGCCGGGTCGTGGGGTCGCGGAGGAAAAGATTGAAAGTGCACCGGATGACTGAGGCGGGAGCATAGGCGCGTTCAGCGATATGATGTCGTCGGATTCGTCGGACAGGTCTCCCGCATCGCTCTCCGAGAGCTCTGACTCGAAGTTGTCCGTAGACTCCCCGTCAGGTGGAGAGACATTGCGCGAGTTGTCCTCTGCGGCCGAGTAGAAGGTGTCATTCGAGGTGTCGTCAGCCTCATCATCGTCGCCAAATCCGTTGGTCGTCGGGGGCTGTTTCACCGGAGGCATGATGATGGGTTGCTTAGAGCTGCTTCGGTGCGACTGTAGTATGACGATCCTCGTGCTCGGTAGCAGGAGGCCTTGCGACACGGGTTCGGAGGCGCTGATTTTGGCTGGTGGAGGTGGGACATGGGTGATGGGATGCGCGGGTAGCTTCAGAGGAAGCAGGTCGCCAGTATGAAGCACAGTAGGTAGTTGTAGGGCTTCGCGTACGGCCTGTCGCCAGGCCTCCTCTTGCGCTGCGAGATCCACCGCCTTGCCTTTTGTTCCGTTCGCTTCCACATAGTGGCTTTTCGGAGCTCGTGATGAGCCATTCATCTGAGCAATGAAGCCTCCGCCGAATTTTGCATGCACCTCGTCCAGCTTCCGCAGGGCTTCCGTGTCCAGATTGACGTAGACTGTGTTCAGCCCAACCGGCACAACATCGTATATGCGCACCTCGATGGGCGTATCCCGTCTCTGTGTCTTGTTCGGGGCGACATTCTGGAGGAGCTGGGAGAAGGACTGCAGGGCGAGAGACGACGTGGGGATCTGGAGTGACGAATGCGGGCGCGCGGTGCCGGTTTCTGTCTTGTCGGCTGATCGCACCGGCAAGATGGTCCAGGGAGTGTTCTGGGAAGCGGCGATGGAGGTCGGCAGCCACGGGGTGATTGCGACGTGTTGGATGCGATCCGAGTCTGGCGTGTCTCCATTGGCTATTCTTCTTGTCAGCCACCTCTCCCATCTACTACCAAACATTCCTTCCACGTACCAGTGCTCTTGCCTCTCGATCCAGGGAACAGGTCATTGAACAGGTCCTCCGACAGCACTCCGACCTCACCCTTCACGCGATCGTCGAGCAGTAGTCGCGCCGAAATAGGAGGGCGGTCAAGACGTCTTCTCCGTCTTCTTTTCCGTGGGTTGGCGACTCCATTCTGCGCGTCCATGATGGATTAACGAGGGATGTCTGCCTCAATGGACAGGTGTATGAGCATTCGCGGCTCTGTTCATTGCGTGCGATCAGCCCGGGCATCACATAGCACCAGAGAGCCGCATTGCCTCGGCAGAACTAGCCCGCTCGGACATGGTTACCTGCCACGAATCCCCGCGTCCAC